AATCAAGAATCCGTCACCAGGGCATTGGGCACTGCTCTTCTTCAAATCTCTCTATCATTATCTAAAGTGATTTACACTTCTCGATATTGTGGAACTAATTTGAACTGAATCCAATCGTGCGTAGAGATGCACGAACAACAGAAATTTGGTTAGCCCTTAAAGGGTGAGGTAAACTGTGGGTAGCATTATTTTCTGTCCGTTTCTGCACCCTGGGAAATTGATCTGCCCATCTTGATCCATAATTGAGATCTGTGGGGTTATATATATCCATCTTACTGTAAGTGCTTAGTTGTCTCTGTTCACCAAACATATCCAGCATAGGAAAACTGCTGTCCATGGTAAATTCAGACTCTTTATTGTGTTTTTCCTAGCAATGACATGTTACAATTATCAATGTGTTTTTTGAAGTAACACAATACAGTACAACATCAGTACCTAAGCACTAAGCTGACTTTAGAGTGTGCTATGAGTGAAGATAATATTAGGTGAACGTGAGAATTGTCAACGAAAGAAGATCGACTCACAAATATTCAAGTACTTTCTTGATTCTTCAGTTTCTGACCCACTGAGCCAAATGGGGCCAATTCCTTTGGTAATTTTTAACACATTTTGATTGTTATCACCACCACCATAATCACTGTCAACTCTTAGCATCTATTGTTCATTTGATCATATCTAATTTTTCATTCAAGTTTCTTGAACTAATCATAATCTAAACTACAAGTGGTATTTACAACTCCATCAGTTGTTACACCCAAGACTGCTCTTCAATTACAACATTGGGAGTCAAAAATTTCACAAAATCCCCATTATTGTACTTATCATCTCTGGATCTATTTTCTCCTCCCTGTTTAACTAAGTCAGAGTTTTCTGCCACAAACCTACTCTGCATCTGTAAATGAATATATCTTAGAGATTGCTCAAAAGTAAATTCTCCTGTCTGGTTTCTATCCATCCTTGTGTTCCCTCATTTGTTACATCTTCCCTTCATGGAACCAAGCATATGTTATCACTAGTCTTGAATGAATGTGTGCCTGTGTGTGTCTGCATGTTTTGATCAGCCCCAGATAAGGAATCTGGCTTTAACATGGTAAATATAAACCCAGCCCTTTGGGTGAACTAGAAATATCCAGAGACATGCAATAAGGGCTACACAGGTAATATGTTGCATAAACAGTTAATATACTCTTTAGATATAGCATTTGTTTTCATTCCCGTCACTGGAAAACTGTAAAGCATATCAATATTGCCGACACCATAAAGATACAGCAAATCAGAATTAATTGTAATTTTCCATTCAACGAAAATAATAACAAAGTCTCGAGGTTGGAGGTCCAGAGATTCTGATGTTCTTTACTTTCTCCAAAATAAAATCCTCTTGGAGAGCAGTAATTTTTAAACATCAAACAGTGACTTCTGGGAGAATCCTCAAAAAGGGGAAAATAGAGATTAAAGAAGAAAGAATCATATCATTAATCGCATTCACCAAATACTGGTCCTTGGCTATTTACTGTGACACTGGTTATATACAAGTAGATAAAGATGAATAGACATGCTTCCTGCACAGGAAATTACTTCTGAATTTGAATGATAGAGCACTGAAAGTAGGCAGAGACAGTATGCACAAGAAGTAAAGCAACTTCAAGGTTAATCAATGCCGGATTTCTAACCAACTCTGAAGAAGTCAGAAATTACCTCTTCGTTGTCACCTCTCTTCAGATACAAAATTGAAGTTCATAAAGGTTAATCAACAACCAAGACACCAAACTAGTGATCTGAGCACATCAGCTTGCACCAGTATACACAATATATGTTTTACCAGGGATATTCTAAAAATTTTGAAGACTCATACTGTTTGTTGTAATGGGGAAATAGTACATCTGGAGATTAAGAAAGTGCCCAAATCAATTAGTATAATATATAAAAACACAAACATAAAACACACATACACATACATACACTTGTATTCACCTGAAGAATGTGCATATTTTCCTGACTCATGTTTTTATGTCCTAGAGCTATAGAAAATATATTGATTGACAAACACTGCACTGACTCAATACCTTGGAACGCATCAACATAATACATTCAGGCTTGCAGCTAAATCAACAAACCAGATACAGAATTGTGGAACTAGAATTTAGATCAGATTTTGATGTTCATTGTCTTAGCTAGGCTATTTTGGAAAATATGCCTAATAGCCTTGGGTCAGTTTCCCATTCCAGTAGTCAAGAGGACATGACTATTTTTGTATCCTTTAAAGGTAGGTCACATTAGAACTTACATCAGTATAGAATTTAGAAGTGAGCAGTGACTTGTAAACATAGTTAATGACATTTTCTGACCTAAAATTTAGCAAGAAATACATCTTAAATCACTACCCTCTATCTGACGATCTAAAACAAACAAAAAGTTTCCATCCAAAACAATCCTTTACATAATGGGCACTCTGAGATTATGTATTTTTTCATTCTACCTTACTTGAGCATAATTTTTATTGTGATCACATTTTAGGATTGATTTGATAACTCACTAAATGTAAGAAGGCAAATGATAGTTTGATACACTATGGGACATTTTTAAATAGGCAGAGAGATGTAGAAAATATTAGATGATGAAACAATTACACATTCTAAAAAGAATCCTTTGGCTCTATTCTCATCCAGGGGCTGCTCACAGTTTCCAAAGTTTATTAAAATACTTCATCAAGGTTAGAAATTTCTGATCCTCAATGATTTGGAAAATGATGGAGCTGATGACATTGCAGGGAACAACCCAGAAGAAAGGGACTACAGGGAGATGCTACAAAATACTTATTAGATAAAACATTACTCATATAAATCTAAAAATTGACTGCTTAAAATAATTGGAAATGATTGACTTTCAAGATCTTCTAGAAATAAACCTACCTGGACATGCCACCACATTACAATAAACTTCAAATGCTTAAAATAAAATTTGTTGTATTTCTCCAAATAAAACTGTTTAATCCAGTCCACTTTATTTGATAATTTTGCCCTAAGGAGCCCTTATTTATATTTATCAAAATGTTTAATTCACAAGAAGGAATACAAAATAAAAGAGGACATTTAAAATATTTTTAATGTATGGAATTTAATTATCAGTGTTTGATACATCCTCATGATGCAAGAGAAAATTAAACAACTAAAAAGAAAATCAAATACTGAAGAAACTTTAAACAGAACATGGAAAACAGAGTTGAAAAATTTGGTTGTCTTTTTTTGTAAAAGATGTAATAATGAGAGAAATTGGAATTATAGTTACATATTTGAAAACACATTGTAGTAGAAATAGACTTCTGATATGCAATAAAGATATACCTCCATTTTTGATGTTTGATTGTTGTAGTTTTATAAGACTCACCATGAACTTTCCCCTTATACCACATCTGGAAACGCTTAAAAAAAAAAATATGTAACAGTTCCCTCTCATGGTTGCAGACAGCTAAGCCACCCAAGCCCTGACCTGCACACACACAGGAAACTTCAACCCAGCCCCTAAAACTGCACTGCTGCGAAAACTTCATGCCACTATCCTCCCGTTGCCTCTCTTTTTCAGTGTCATTTCCAGACTCAAGGTGTCAGCCTGCTCTTTCATTGAAAGCAATATATGAGTAATAAACCTTTCATATCCTATTGGTATGTTTGTGTGGAATCTTTTATTGTAAGCATCTAAACCAGATTTGGATAGATAGGTAGGTCCCTCTGCCTCCTGTGTAGTGACAAACACAACACCACAACCCCAGTGACAATGCAAGCTCAGATCAAAAATTAGAAGTTACGGCGTAAATTAGCTCTGCTCAACTGTAGAAATAATCGACCCATAGTGTTATTAGTGGCGAAATGGGCTTCCCCAAAGTGTAGAGGTCCTTACAACGAAGTGGAATCAAGCAGATTTTGACGACTAAAGGTCAGGGAGTTGAGAGAAGGCCATAGTCACCATGGGAAAAGTTGAATGTGCTAATAAATGTTCTGGCTTCAATACAAATTATGATACAAAAATAATTTCACAGATAATATGTGCCAAAATTCATATTCATTGCTTGACTAATTCTATTTCCAAATTTTATTCAAAGAAAGTAGTCAGAGATTTACAATAATTAATATGGGTTGCACTCTTGTATATTAAGAGCAGGAAAAACTAGAATCAACCTATTCACAAAAACAGAGGATTAGTTAAATAAACTCTGGTGTGTCCAAAATAATTACTGTATCCAGCTAATAATGTTCTTGAAAACATTTAAAAGTTAAACACATAAAATATTCATTCAATACATGACATTATAAGACACATATATCTTATGATCTTACCGCTTGCTTGCCCTGCACTAGCCCTTTCTTCCACCTGCTCTCCTTAGTCTTGCAGGTGCACACACACATCTACGCACCACAGAGATCTGTGCTGTTGTGTACCATCTCTTCACATCTCACAGCACACTCCATTGCCGAGAATGGCAGCCCCACACTTTGGGTGGTAGTTGGCAACCCCTGTATTGTTCTTAAACACTTTACTAGAAAAGTTACCTAATTTTTAAGCATATGTAAAGCCAAGACTGACAGCTGATTGCCAAAAACCATGTTCTTTTCTTCTAAAAGAATAAACCACATTTTCCAACTTCTCTGCAGTTAGGTGTGGTTTTGTTGCTAAGTGCACACATGAGAGAAGTTATGTGCCACTTCTATGCCTGGTCTAAAGTCATTTGCCTTTTTTTTTTTTTTTTTTTTTTTTTTTTTTGAGACGGAGTCTTGCTCTGTCGCCAGGCTGGAGTGCAGCACGGATCTCAGTTCACTGCAAGCTCCGCTCCCGGGTTTACGCCATTCTCCTGCCTCAGCCTCCCGAGTAGCTGGGACTACAGGCGCCACCTCGCCCCGCTAGTTTTTTGTATTTTTGGTAGAGACGGGCTCACCGAAGAAGCGGGATGGTCTCGATCCTGACCTCGTGGATCCCGCCCGCCTCGGCCTCCCAAAGTGCTGGGATTACAGGCTTGAGCCACGCGCCCGGCCCGGGCATTGCTTTTTTAACTTGCTCTTTTCTCCTTCCTGTATCACACAGAGATATGAACCATTGATGATATTGAAAGACATTTGCTGAAGACATCAAAGCCCAATTAACCTGGTACCTAAAAAGACTGTTATTCCAAACACTTCACCTCCTAATTACTGTTACATGAGCAAAAAGTAAACTATGATACTTCAGCCATCATCATATTTTGTAGTCTATTTACAATACCATTTGTTCTACCCAAACTATTAGTGTTAATTATATGATGAAATAAACACCATTGGTTTTTTTTAATGCTTCCACCAGACACAAGGCCTCCTCTTGAATTCGGTCTTCAATTGTTTTCTTCCCCATCCCCATATTCCTCAAAACCATGAGAGAGAAACGTCGGATTTGCTTCCATCTTTCTCCATTGCTCAAAACAACTCCTATCAACACAAAAGAAAAAACAGAGAGAGAAAATATTCTTCATTGTCATGAATACGAGCTGACAGTTCTCATCACAGGAGATGATATTGACATTTCAGCAGGATGTAAATATAATGGTGTCAGCTTCATGGATTCCCATTGAACCCTTCATCACACCTGCCTCCTCTTTGAACCCAAACTACTATTTAATGGTCAGGATTCTTAATTTTGCATATTGCTAAACTATTCTTAATCCACCAGCTGCACTAAACCTCAGAATAATTCTGTAAACTGAAGGCTTTGTCCCATTTTATGGGATGCTAAAAATCATAAAGGCAAAATGCTTGCTCATGATCTTGCAGCAATAAACATGGTGAGTCCTGGTCATAGCTTAAATTTTCAGGGCTGGCTTTTCAAATGGTAAGTTAATTTTAGGAGAAATAACAAGAGGAGGGAATTATCAGGAGAATGTGAGACAGCACTTTTTCATTGGAAGATATCTCCTGATAATCGTTTCTCAGATAAGGGGTATAGTCATTAAACAGACAGCTAGTCTCATTTTAACATTTCCCCTCTATTTGTTAAATCTCTCCCATGAAATACGGAAGGAAACATCAAAGAAGTTCAATATTAGGCTGCCAGAGTCAAGACCAGATCAAGGGGAAAAAATAAGCTCATAGGAAACGTTTCCAGGGAGTCTCTTAGAGAACAGTGCAGAAGAGGTCAGAACCCCATTCAGGTCATATCTCTGTTTGCCAGAACCCTGTGATCCACCGGAAGACTTGACAGTTTAAGGCTAGCTCCAAAAACAAATAAAAGAAATTTCCAGTACTTAATCAAAAAAGCTTTTTCTAATATTAATTCTGATACATACTCTGATCATGTTTCTCCATGATCTTTTCAGAACATATGTTTGCTTTATGCTTTGTCTTCTGTTGTATTCTAATATGGCTCATGCTTTTTTAGAATCATATTTCAAGGTGAGGATGGAAATATTCCAAACTGATGTGATTCCATGCACACTATTGAAGCTTCCTAAAATAATCTCTGGGTATCCATGACTAAGACCCGGTAGCAAAATATTTGGTGAATAAGATAATTCAGTAATATTCCTCCTCTCTCTCATCGCTCTATTGCTTTTCTATTTTTTTAACTGACCATAATTTACGATGAACTTGTCTTTGTAACAAATTCGTAAAAAATTAGTGGTTAGATGGCTTGTTATCATTGAATTTAATGTTTAACAGGGACATTGTATCACTTTCACAGACTTTAAATATAGATTAATGATCCTTTATAGAAAAATTATTCTTAGCCTCAGGCAGAAAATATGAAAAGTGTGTTTCATAAATTTTTCTAAATACTTATGATTTCTCAATTTCTTCAAATTTTTCAAGTTTTTACAACTTACAAATCCACACACATACCCCAAAGGGAAGCATACCGAATCCTTGGGTAACTTTTTCTATCACTGGAAAACTCCCTCGGCCAGAAAATACTTCTCCCTGATCAATCAGTGCTTCCTTAATTGCTTTGTATCCATGCAACACCACGGTGGGCTTCATGCCAAAATAAACAGTGAACACAGGGCCATAATCTTTTGCTAGCTGCAAAAAGAATAGCAGATGCAAATAAAGTGTAAATTTCAAAAATAAAATGTAGATAGCTTAGGGAAATATTTTTTAATCTTGCCAGAAGGATGTTTTAATACTTATCCACCTATTATATAAAATTTTATATTTTAGAACCAATTATTTGATAAGAGAAAAGTATTTGAATAGTAATTATCATTACTTTATTAGTAATAATTCTATTTGTGTTAGTATCAGCTTCAATGTTTGTTTCTTGTTCAGCTCCTATTATATGACAGGGGTTATATTATGCATTTTGTTCCTATTATTTTATTAAATTTTTATACCAAACTAATAATTGTACCAAATTTCTCTCATCTTCTTACAATTACAGTAAATTCTGTATTTCTTCTTTGGGTTAAGGGAAGTCCATGTAATTTGCCTCATGTGTGGTCTAATAATTGTCCATCATTGTTCATTCTTGATAAATTTTTTTTAGCACCAGACACTGCCATATTTTTATAATGTATGATAGCATAGGAGTGTGGTCATACATATTTCCCAGCTTCACTCAAAGCTAGATGCAGCCATGTGACTCAGTTTCCATGAACTCAGGTAAGCACAGTGTTGTGATAAAATTCGACATTTGTGCATAACAGACAATTGCTTCCCCTTCATTTCTGCCCCCACCCATGGGTTGAAATAATAGCATGGAGATGCCCCTACTATGACTATGCAAATGAGAAAAATAGTCTAGAGGCAGAAGATACTAAAACTACAATGATAAAAAAAAAAAAAAAAAAAAACAAAACTGGTTCTCTTAATGACATCATGGAGGAGAAGCAAGTTGACAGCAAGCACCTAGAGTTTCTTATGTGAGATATAAATAATCTCCTATCTTCTTTCAGCATCATCTTTCTGTAGTATCAGCTTATGTGGTATCCTAAATGATATAGGACTTACAGTCTTTCAACTTTTCTATTGTAGAAGTTTTTTTGCCGACCTAAAAATTCATTCTACAAACTATAGTGACCTTTTCACAAGGAAGATGTTAACCTGACTGTCCTTTAAGCATGTTAATAGTATCACATTGCTCTTTTTTTCTTTCCTTTTTTTTTGAGACAGAGTTTCACTCTTGTTGCCCAGGCTGGACTGCAATGGTGGGATCTCGGCTCACAGCAACCTCCACCCCCCGAGTTCAAGCAATTCTCCTGCCTCAGTCTCCCAAGTAGCTGGGATGACAGGCATGTACCACCATATCCTGCTAATTTTGTACTTTTAGTGGAGGCAGGGTTTCTCCATGTTGGTCAGGCTGGTCTCGAACTCCCGACCTCAGGCGATCCTCCTGCCTCGACTTCCCAAAGTGCTGGGATTATAGGTGTGAGCCACTAGTCTTGGTTCATATTGATCTTATGACAGAAACAAGTGTTTTTTACATCCATGCAAGGCCTGCATGTCCTGTCCCCTGCTTCCCTCTCTACTCTCAGCTTGTACCATATTCTTACTTACTCTCTGAACTACAAACACTTTTGTCCTCTTTTCAGGGTCTTAGGGAGAGAAGTGTAAATCAAAAATAAAATTCAAAGCACCCCTCTCCCCGCCAGCTGGCCCCACTCCCTTACCACCAGCAATTTAAACAGACTTCCTCCTCTAGGCCAAGTCCCTCCAAATTTAACCTGAAAAACTGATTCATGCCATCATGGGAAAGGGGCATTGAATATGCCTCATTATGTCCTCTTCCCTTTTGGAATTCAGGAAAAGCTGACCAACATTTAACATTAACACAGACCTTAACTCTGATAAGAAACAATTACAAACTATTCTCTCTGAAGACTGCTGCCTGGAAGCTTCATCTGCATGATAAAAGCTTGGTCCCCACAACTCTTATCATAACCCAGACATTCCTCTCTATTAACAATAACTCTTTCAACCAATAGTCAATCACAAAATTTTAAACTCTGGATATCCTGGAAGAAACCCCTCTCCCACTGCTTCGAGTTGTCCCACCTTTCTGGGCCAAACCAATGTATATCTTAAATGTATTGACAGGAGTCTCATGTGTACATACTCAAACATATAAACGTATAAAACCAAACTGTGCCCTGACTACCATGGGCACATATTCTCAGGATCTCCTGATGGCTGTGTCGTGGGTCATAGTCACTCACATTTGCTCGGAATAAATCTCTTCAAGTATTTTGCAGTTTGACTCTTTTCATCAACAGAAGCAATTCTCCCCCAGATTGAAAACATGCGAAATTGGGTTTTGTTGATATTTGATATGTTTAATTCCTAATCATTCTTACGATTATCAGCTCCAACTTCAATTACTCAGAGAACCCTTTGCTGAATTCTCCTCTAACTGGTGAGTCCCTTGAAATTACAGGGTCTCTTTCTACCATGTCCCTGTTACACAGTTTGAAATCATGCCTTTACTTGCATTGTTGTTTCATAAATATATTCCTATCCTCTAAACTGTAAGTTCCTTAATGATAGGGTCACTTTAAATTTTCTTTCGCCATTGAAACTCACATGCACCATGCAAGGAGATATTTAATTACTTCTAGAAAATGTGGTATACTTAAGTAACCCGTGCAAAATCTTTCTTATTTACATCTTCAAGAAATGGAAATTAAAGCGAAGAGAGGTTTTAATCCTGCTTAAATCTGTGAATTTAAATAATCAATAGATGAGCTGGGGTGCTGACACAATCTCTTTAAATTCAAAGCCAAGGCATAGGAAGAATGAGCTTCCAGAAGCAGTATTCCAGTAACTGGCTTTCTTAAGAGAAAGACAGATTCCAGATCATTCTTCAGGCTTTAGAGAGCAACTGCTATGTAAACAACTTGCAGTAGAGAAGTTACTGACTCATTTATTGAGAACTACAGTATGAAATATGAAAGATCTGAACTCTTAGTAATTCCCTTGATTTCAATTCATATATGCTTTATGAAAATGTGGTGCTGTGACACTGTAAATCGGTGCTTATTTAAAAAACTAACAGCTGTTCCATTTTCACTAGCATTTACCAAAGAAGAGTTAAAGCAACCTGGATTACAATATCAACAAAGAATTTGTGCACCTGGCAATGTCAACAATCATAACATGGATCAATGATCTTGGCAATGTTCCACTGGTGGCAGGAATGACTCACATCTTGAGCAACTACTGCCATGTCGAACTGCTGATAAACTTTGACGTCAATAAGGAATTATGAAAAACATTTTCTTCACAAATAACTGGGCTCTCAACAATATACAATACAAGAAAACTTTGTATATGAGTTATATCTGATTCAAATATGCAAATGCACTCTTGTACTAATGACTGATGATGCATTATTTGTTTAATCTACCAATGAAGAAATCTGACAATTTATATAATTGAAATGAGTTCCTATATAAATGGAAGCCCCCATAATCCTTGCATAAAACAAATTTCTCTTCAAAGGTTTAGCCTGTTAACTTCCTTGTTCTTTGTTCTCAAACTCAACTTTTTTGTTCTCCATGCCTCCTTGCCCGTAGTTACTTTCCTGTCAGCTCTAATCAATAACTCACCTCTGTTTACTTAGTTACCCACTCTGCACCCATTCCACCCTTTGAAACTTCATGGCCCACCACTGTAATTCACATCTCCCTTCCCTTCCTTATTTAAGAAAATATTCACAAATAGCTAATCAGGTCAGCTTAGATTGTGTGGTCTGACCGTAGTCCATGGGGTGAGTGACACAGAGGTAGAGACTACATGGTAGAGATAAAACCTCCTTCTCTCCTTTGTTCACTATACTCTTGTGATCGTGATTGATGCAGGCAGCACCCTTCTGAAGAAGTAAATTGCCTTGCTGAGAAAATTTTTGCCTGAGTGCTAGTTTCACTTTGTGGCACCAAGCATTTATCTCCAACATTTCTCTTAGGTGATACAGTCTATAATTACTTTCCAGTTGAAACATCCATTCTGGAGTAAACACTTATTTGCCTCAAACTTGCTGATTTCTTCATTTCCTTTGGATGTACCGATTGCATGTTCTTCTATATGTCTACATTATAAAGGCATATCTGGGTGTCTAATGGACACATCTCTATAAAGGCATCTCTTTAAAACTTGGTATCTGGGGACATAGTTATGGGGATATCTGACTTACTCACTGCAGAAAACTAAAGGAAAATTAGTCATACTTACCATTCTTATGGATTTGCTGATGTTCTTAGTATTTAACTGTAGAATATTTCCAATAATGGGGAGAGGAGTTGGGCCAGGTGGAAGCTTCCCTTTGGCATAGCTTCGGTTCCACAGAGAAAGAAGAATCAGACAAGAAAGACAAATCACCAGGATGATGAAGAGATCCATTGATGGGCTCTTTGAAAACGCAGTTGAAAGCTAAGAATCTAAAGATTTTGTAAACCAAAGTGCAAGCTCCTCACCAATTATGTACTAAGACTTTGAACTTTGGACGATTGATTTTTTTTTATCTTTAGTACACCTTGAACTGCTGGTAGAAGTAAAAACAAAAATTAATTTAATATTGATTAGTTCTTAAGTTTAACCTAAAATTGTAACTAAATGATAACGTTCACTTCTGTAAAAGCAAGAAATAATAAAATCAAAATTAATAGAAAGAAGAAAATAATAAACCTCAGCACAGAAATAAATGCAATAGAGACTGAGAAGTAATTTAAAACATAAAAAAAATAATTGGTATTTGAAAAGAAAAAAGAAAATTGATGAACTTTTAGCAAGAATACTGAAGTAAAAAGTGAGAACACTCAAATAAATAAAATCAGAGGTAAAAAAGAGACATTTCAGATAATATTAAAGAAATACAAAGGATCATAAGAACCTGTTATGAACAACTATATGCAACTAAATTTAATAAAAGAATAATTGCATAAATTTCCAGAGACATACAACCTTCTAATTTTAAATTATGAGGAAATAGAAAATATAACAGATAAACATAGAGAGAAAAAAATTAAATCAGTACAGAAAGTTATTGCATCAAAAGAAAGCCCAGAATATGATAGCTTAACTACAGAATTCTGCCAAACATTTAAAGAAGAATTAATATTAACTCTTCTCAAACTATTCCAGAATTAAAAGAAAAAATATTTCCAAACTACCTTTGCAAGGTTAGCATAACCTGATTCCAAAACCAAACATAAACACATACATACACACAAACTACAGACCAATATATCTAATAAATATCGATATAAAAATCCTCAAAAGTTACTAGCAAAGCAAATTCAACAACACACTGAAAAGAATATTCACTATGATCAAGTTGGATTCATGACAGATATGCCACAATGGCTTATCATAGGGGAAAAAAATATGATACATCATATTGAAAGAAAGAAATACAAGAGTCCAGGCAAGATGGCCGAATAGGAACAGCTCCAGTCTCCAGCTCCCAGCGCGAGCGTCACAGAAGACAGGTGATTTCTGCATTATCAGCTGAGGTACTGGGTTCATCTCACTGGGAAGTGCCGGACAATTGGTGCTGGTCAGCTGTTGCAGCCCGACCAGCGAGAGCTGAAGCAGGGTGAGGCATCGCCTCACCTGGGAAGTGCAAGGGGGAAGGGAATCCCTTTTCCCAGCCAGGGGAACAGAGACACACAACACCTGGAAAATTGGGTAACTCCCACTCCAATACTGTGCTTTAAGCAAATGGACACAACAGGAGATTATAGCCCACACCTGCCCGGGACAGTCCCATGCCCACGAAGCCTCCCTCGTTGCTAGCACAGCAGTCTGTGATCTAACCACAAGGTAGCAGCGAGGCTGGGGGAGGGATGCCCACCATTGCTGAGGCTTACATAGGTAAACAAAGTCCTGGGATGAAAGAACTGGGAGCAGAAACCTCTGCAGACGCAAACAACTCTGTCTGACAGCTTTGAAGAGAGCAGAGGATCTCCCAACATGGAGGTTGAGATCCAAGAATGGACAGACTGCCTGCTCAAGTGGGTCCCTGACCCCTGAGTAGCCTAACTGGGAGACATTCTCATCTAAGGGCAGACCGACACCCCATAACTCACACAGTGGAGTACACCCCTGAGAGGAAGCTTCCAAAGCAAGAATCAGACAGGTACACTTGCTGTTCAGGAGTATTCTATCTTCTACAGACTTTGCTGCTGACACCCAGGCAAACAGGGTCTGGAGTGGACCTCAAGCAATCTCCAACAGACCTATGACTGAGGGTCCTGACTGTTAGAAGGAAAACTAACAAGCAGGAAGGACACCCACACCAAAACCCCATCATACGTCACCATCATCAAAGACCACAGGCAGATAACACGCCAAAGATGGGGAAAAAGCAGGGCAGAAAAGCTGGAAATTCAAAAAATAAGAGCGCATCTCCCACTGCAAAAGAACACAGCTCATCGCCAGCAACGGATCAAAGCTGGACGGAGAATGACTTTGAAGAGATGAGAGAAGAAGGCTTCAGTCCATCAAACTTCTCAGAGCTAAAGGCAGAATTACATACCCAGCACAAAGAAACTAAAAATCTTGATAAAAGAGTGGAAGAATTGATAACGAGAATAATTAATGCAGAGAAGTCCATAAACGAACGGACAGAGATGAAAACCATGACATGAGAACTATGTGACAAATGCACAAGCTTCAGTAACCGACTCAATCAACTGGAAGAAAGAGTATCAGCAATTGAGGATCAAATGAATGAAATGAAGCGAGAAGAGAAATCTAAAGAAAAAAGAAAAAAAAGAAATGAACAAAGCCTGCAAGAAGTATGGGATTATGTAAAAAGACCAAATCTACATCTGATTGGGGTGCCTGATAGTGATGGGGAAAATGGAACCAAATTGGAAAACTCTTCAGGATATCATCCAGAAGAACTTCCGCAACCTAGTAGGGCAGGCCAACATTCAAATTCAGGAAATACAGAGAATGCCACAAAGATACTCCTCGAGAAGAGCAACTCCAAGACACATAATTGCCAGATTCACCAAAGTTGAAATGAAGGAAAACATCTTAAGGGCAGCCAGAGAAAAAGGTCGGGTTACCCACAAAGGGAAGCCCATCAGACTAACAGCAGATCTCTCGGCAGAAACTCTACAATCCAGAAGAGAGTGGGGGCCATTATGCAACATTCTTAAAGAAAAGAATTTTCAACCCAGAATTTCATATCCAGACAAATTAAGTTTCATAAGTGAAGGAGAAATAAAATCCTTTACAGATAAGCAAATGCTTAGAGATATTCTCACCACCAAGCCTGCCTTACAAGAGACCCTGAAGGAAGCACTAAACATGGAAAGGAACAACCGGTACCAGCCATTGCAAAAACATGCCAAAATGTAAAGACCATCGAGGCTAGGAAGAAACTGCATCAAATAATGAGCAAAATAACCAGTTAATATCATACTGACATGATCAAGTTAACACATAACAATATTAACTTTAAATGTAAATGGACTAAATACTCCAATTAAAAGACACAGACTGGTAAACTGGATAAAGAGTCAAGACCCACCAGTCTGCTGTATTCAGGAGACTCATCTCACATGCAGAGACATACATAGGCTCAAAATAAAGGGATGGAGGAAGATCTGCCAAGCAAATGGAGAACAAAAAAAAGCAGGGGTTGCAATACTAGTCTCTGATAAAACAGACTTTAAACCATCAAAGATCAAAAGAGACAAAGAAGGCCATTACATAATGGTAAAGGGATCAATTCAACAGGAAGAGCTAACTATCCTAAATATATATGCACCCAATACAGGAGCACCCAGATTCATAAAGCAAGTCCTTAGAGACTTACAAAGAGACTTAGACTCTCATACAATAATAATGGGAGACTTCAACACCCCACTGTCAACATTAGACAGATCAATGAGACAGAAAGTTAACAAGGATATCCAGGAATTGAACTCGACTCTGCAGCAAGCAGACCCAACAAACATCTACAGAACTCTCCACCCCAAATCAACAGAATATACATTCTTTTCAGCACCACATCACACTTATTCCAAAATTAACCACATAATTGGAAGTAAAGCACTCCTCAGCAAATGTACAAGAACAAAAATTATAACAAACTGTCTCTCAGACCACAGTGCAATCAAACTAGAACTCAGGACTAAGAAACTCAATCAAAACCACTCAACTACATGGAAACTGAATAACCTGCTCCTGAATGACTACTGGGTACACAACGAAATGAAGGCAGAAATAAAGATGTTCTTTGAAACCAATGAGAACAAAGATACAACATACCAGAATCTCTGGGACACATTTAAAGCAGTGTGTAGAGGGAAATATATAGCACTAAATGCCCTCAAAGAAAGCTGGAAAGATCTAAAATTGACACTCTAACACCACAATTAAAAGAACTAGAGAAGCAAGAGCAAACACATTCAAAAGCTAGCAGAAGGCAATAAATAGCTAAGATCAGAGCAGAACTGAAGGAGATTGAGACACAAAAAACCCTTCAAAAAATCAACGAATCCAGGAGTTGGTTTTTTGAAAAGATCAATAAAATTGCTAGACCAATAGCAAGACTAATAAAGAAGAAAAGAGAGAAGAATCAAATAGATGCAATAAAAAATGATAAAGGGGATATCACCACTGACCCCACAGAAATACAAACTAACATCAGAGAATGCTATAAACACCTCTACACAAATAAACTAGAAAATCTAGAAGAAATGGATAATTTCCTAGACACTTGTACTCTCCCAAGACTAAACCAGGAAGAAGATGAATCCCTGAGTAGACCAATAGCAGGCTCTGAAATTGAGGCAATAATTAATAGCCTACCAACCAAAAAAAGTCCAGGACCAGATGGATTCACAGATGAATTCTACCAGAGGTACAAGGAGGAGATGGTACTATTCCTTCTGAAACTATTCCAATCAATAGAAAAAGAGGGAATCCTCCCTAACTCATTTTATGAGGCCAACATCATCCTGATACCAAAGCCTGGCAGAGATACAACAAAAAAAGAGAATTTTAGACCAATATCCCTGATCAACATCCATGCAAAAATCCTCAATAAAATGCTAGCAAACTGGATCCAGCAGCACATCAAAAAGCTTATCCACCATGATGAAGTTCACTTCATACCTGGGATGCAAGGCTGGTTCAACATATGCAAATCAATAAACATAATCCAGCATATAAACAGAACCAAAGACAAAAACCACATGATTATCTCAATAGATGCAGAAAAGTTCTTTGACAAAATTCAAAAAGTTTTTAGCCCTTCATGCTAAAAACTCTCAATAAATTCGGTATTGATGGAACGTATCTCAAAATAATAAGAGCTATTTATGAAAAACCCACAGCCAATATCAGACTGAATGGGCAAAAACTGGAAAAATTCCCTTTGAAAACCGGCACAAGACAGGCATAGTGTTGGAACTTCTGGCTAGGGCAATCAGGCAAGAGAAAGAAATCAAGGGGATTCAGTTAGGAAAAGAAAAAGTTAAATTGTCCCTGTTTGCAGATGACATGATTGTATATTTACAAAACCTCATTGTCTCAGCCCAAAATCTCCTTAAGCTGATAAACAACTTCAGCAAAGTCTAAGGATACAAAATCAATGTGCAAAAATCACAAGCATTCTTATACACCAATAAAAGACAAACAGAGAGCCAAATCAGGAATGAACTTCCATTCACAATTGCTTCAAAGAGAATAAAATACCTAGAAATCCAACTTACAAGGGACGTAAAGGATCTCTTCAAGGAGAACTACAAACCATTGCTCAGTGAAATAAAAGAGGACATAAACAAATGGAAGAACATACCATACTCATGGATAGGA